ATAGAAGATGTCGTTACTGTTGTGAGTGTTGTCATTGGGGTCTCTGAGACACCAGCTCCCTGTTGGCAAACGTGACGTTTCCTAGTGCCTCAATCTGGACTGTTAGGATTGTCCAGAGTGCTTCCTCACCAAGGGAGCAAGGTTCTTCTTCTCTCTATCACAGGTCTCTTGTTTCCTGCTCCTGATGCCTTTGTCTTCTAGAAGGTAGCTGGAACTATGTAGGTCAGCAGGATTTTTTTTTTAGAGATTGAGAAAAAGCATGAGTGGGAGAGAGGGGCAGGGGGAGTGGAGAATCACAGGCAGGTTCCACTTTCAGTGTGGAGCCTGATGCCGGGATGGATCCCATGACCCTACGATGATTACTGAAATCAAGAATTGGATCCTTAACTGACTGAGGCACCAAGCGCCCCCAGGTCAGCAGGATTTTTAATGCTAAGCCAAAGGTCTCCAAGAGAAATACTCAAGCACTGGATCCTTTTGCATCATGCGTTTAGTAAATCACAGGGACCACACAGTGATGTTCTGTTTGTATTCCACTAGCTCCTTTCTTTCCCTCTGATAATGTGGTAAAATCTGACTTATTCAGGTCTTAGCTAAAATTGTGTGAGTGTGTAGTATTTGTCTCTAGCATGTGAGTTCCATGAGTGTAGGATTGGATCTGTCTTATTTTTTGTGTCCTTGGTATGTAGTACAGGGCCTGGCATGTATCCACCCAAAAAAAAATTTTATTTGAATGTTCTAGGTAATGTACTAAGTACTCTGCACATGTGTGCATGCATATCAAAGACAAATAGCTGACAAGTAATTGTTCAGAGTGAATTATGAAAACCTTGAATTACAGATGACTTCCTATGGAATGTATTTTTTCATACTTTTCAAGGAATTGAAACAAATTTGAGGTAAATAAGGCATTGCTTTGATAGGTTCCTTTCAGGACCTGTTGAATTGATAAGTATTATTTTCCTGTAAAACTTAAAATGACTTACCAATATTCATTCATCTAATATATTTACTGAGTATGTCCTATGCTTTAGCCAATACAGCAGAACAAAATGCACAAAAGTCCCTCCCCCTCATACAGCTTGCATATTAGGAGACACAAAGTATATTGAAGGCGAATGCATATAAACTGGAGAAGCTGGGCAGCAGGAGGAAGGGTTGCCTCACTGCCATCAGGCTATAGACATTAGAATGAAAAGGTGAGGGGTGCCTGGGTGGCTCAGTTAGTTAAACATCTGGCTTTGGCTCAGGTCATGATTTTGCAGTTGCTGAGTTTGAGCCCCTCTTCATGCTCATTACTGTCAGCACAGAGATCCTCTCTCCCCTCTCTCTCCTCCTCCCCTGCTTGTGCTCTGTTTCTCTGAAAATAAACAAACTTAGGGGTGCCTGGGTGGCTCAGACGGTAAGCGTCCGACTTTAGCTCAGGTCATGATCTCACGGTTCATGGGTTCGAGCCCCAAGTCGGGCTCTGTGCTGACAACTCAGAGCCTGGAGCCTGTTTCAGATTCTGTGTCTCCCTCTCTCTCTGACCCTCCCCTGCTGATGCTGTCTCTCTCTCTCTCTCTCTCTCTCAAAAAAAAATAAAAAAAAAAAAAAAAACACGTGAAAATAAACAAACTTAAAAAAAAAAAAGAATGCAAGGGTAAGAGATGGCCTGAGGCTCTGGGCTTCTTGAGGGGTAGGCATCTTCACAGGGTGATACAAAGTCCTGAGGTCCCCAACCTATGCTTGCCGATGATGGTGTAAGGCTTGAACCCGTGAGCCCGTTGTGTAGAAACCATGTTCCATAAGTATTTGAAAAGAGTGTATGTTTTTGAGCACTTTATAAAAAGGATGGAATAGGACCAGGCATCATTAAGAGCCCCTCCACTCACTGTCCTCTAATTAATACACAATTTAAAATATTTAGTGTCATAACTAGGGGGAAAAGAGCCTTTCAGCTTTGTGATTCCATGATTCTATGTAGATTCTAGCTTGGTTACCTTCTTCCAGCTACTAAAATAAGGCCTTGTACATGATACAAGGCAGAATTGAATCATCATGAAAAACAAGAGCTTGGAAGTCAGGTAGATCTGGGTGCAAAATGCAGCTGTACCTCAGTCTAGCTGCATTGTCCCCAGGTGACAAAACCTCTCTATGCTTTAGTTGTTCACAAGAGTAATTAATTATCAGTACTATTCAGTGTTGCTGCTGAATGAATGAAAATCAGTCACGGACTTGGTATTAAGACTTGAGTATGCATGGACATGGAATTAGGTGCAACTGGCCAGTACATTATCTATAGCCTGCCCTGTGTTATATAGAAGAATTGGCAGTGGGCTGATGAAAGAATTGTCACCTTTCATTTCACCTCCATCTTCGGTGGCTGTCATTTTCGGGCTTTACAAGGTTGCTACAGTGGCATTCCAATATGCCATGTGTGTGGAGAACAGATTGCTAGGTATAACCTTGTAAACATTCTTTACGTCATTTCAATAGCCCGCAAGTTCTGTAGTCCTCAGCCCCAGCGTCTCAGTCTCAAATAAAATGTGATTGGCTGATAGAGAAGCAGTGCATGCTAATGAGGATAAAAATAGCTCCTGACATTTATTGAGAACCTACAATGTGCCAATCATATGTTCCCAGCAATATGCATCCCCCTTCTGCAGCTGGGAAAACTGAATCTCAGAGTAGTAAATAAAATGTGAACAGCTGCTAAGTGACAGAGGCAGAAATTGATGGACTCCAGAGCACAGTTTGCTCATCCCTTCCCATTTACTGCAGGTGCATCAGGTGGAGATGACCAAACCTCGAGGCTCCCATTTGTCTGTTGAGATGTTGGCATGGGGCTTACCTGCTATTTGTAAAGTCCGCAGTCCTAATGAGATTCCCTTGGAGGGAAACTAATGTGAAAATCTAGTTCTCAAGGTCAGGGGCCTTCATTAATGCTTGATTAAAATCCAAGAGGTTTTTCTGTTTCCTTGGATTTAATTCTCAAGTTCGGTTCTGATTGATGAGGGGTTTTTTGTTCTCTTAAATGGTTAGGTGAAAATGAGGATTTTGCTTTGGCTATTCCAACAAGATTTGAAAGAGAACTCATTGTAGTCTTGAGTTTTCTACACAGAATTTGATACGGACTCTGACAGTGTGGAGCAGGTAGGAAAGAAAAATCTCTGGAGAATGTGTTGTTTGGTTGGTTGGTTGGTTTTAATTCTTTTTATAGTTTATTTTTGAGACAAAGAGAGACAGAGCATGAGCAAGGGAGGGGCAGAGAGAGAGAGGGAGACACAGAATCTGAAACAGGCTCCAGGCTCTGAGCTGACAGCACAGAGCCTGACATGGGGCTAGAACTCACAGACTGCAAGATCATGACCTGAGCTGAAGTTGGGCCCTTAACCGACTGAGCCACCCAGGCGCCCCTGGAGGATGTGTAACCTGCAGGCTCATGTTTGGTTTAGCCTAAAACTGTGATCCAAACACTTGTTAATTTAAACCATACTCAGTTGCTATTGTTATCGGTTAAAATTAAGTATGGGCAATCGTGTGTAACTGTGCATCCCAGATGGCAAAGAATTCATTCATTTAATCTAGCTTTGGTTCTAATCAAGCAATACATGTTTATTGAACATTTGTGTGCAAGACTTTAAGTACAAAGAAAAACCAAAAACAAGCTCACACTGCAATTGCAGTAAGACAAACACGTGGATTATTAAATAGCAATGTGAGAGTACCAACGGTCTTGTTAAGTAAGTGGGCCAGACCAAGTGGGGGGTTGGGGCTTTCACAAAAAAATTATTTAAGGCAAGATGGTATGTGGAAGATGAGGCATAGGAGTCCAGCAGAATTTGAGTCAGTGAAGACAGAATAATCAGGCATAGAAACGGCAACACTCAAAATATACCTAAGCTATATTCTATACATTCTATTTGAACCAGAGAAGTTCAAAATCAGGATTGATACATTAGAGCAGCTTTTGATGGGTCTTGTTGTCCAACTGAGGGGCTGTGCCTTTATTCCTCTAAGTGGAAATCAACTGAAGCTACTGAGAGGTAAGAGGTGCCTGGATATCAGAGCAAAGGGACAATATACACAAAAGACAAGACTGAGGCTCAGCAAAGCGACACTGTTAAATAAAAACCATGACCCAAGAGACAGAAAAATCAATGTCCACATAAAAGTTCATACATGAATATTCATAGTAGCATTATTTCTAATAGCCAAAAAGTAGAAACCCAAGTATTTTTCAACTAATAAATCCATAAACCAACTCTGGTATATCCATACAATGGATTTTATTCACCCATCAAAAGGAATGAAGTACTCATATCTACTACAGCATGGATGAAGCTTGGAAAAAGAGTATTAAGGGGAAAAGTAGCCAGTCACAGGAGAACCCTACATCGTATAATTCCATTTATGGGAAGTTTCCTGATTAGATAATTTCATAGAACAAGAAAACAGATTAGTCATTTCCTAGGGCTGTAGGAGTAGGGAATCAGAAGTAACTGCAACTGGGTATGGAATTATGGAGGGTGGATTGATGAAAAGGTTTGAAATTTAGATTATTGTGATGCTAGTACAAGTATGTGATTATACGGAAAAAAAACAATGAACTGTAAACTTCAAATGAACAAATTGGACGGTATGTAATTTTATATCTAAAAAAACTGTAAACACATATTTAAGCATCTCAGATGACTCCAAGTTTTGATATGTGAGGTGACACACAAAGACCAGGGGAATTGTGGAACAGAGACCATAGACCTGGAGTTTGGAAATTCTCAGGGCTAGATTCATGGGTGATACAGGTCCCATGCGAGACCTTCCATGAGAAAGAAAACACAGAAACCAGTAACCACTTTTTCTGCTTCCAGGGAGTTGATGGTTCTCTATTAGTACCTTATTCACATTCTACAGATTCTACTCCAAGTTAGACCGTTGACTATCTAGCTGGCCCATACATGGTAGAGATAGTTGAAAAGCATGTGCTCATTTTGTCTTGTTTTGTTTCTGTGGTGCAGTTTTTGAAGAGCCCGAAGATCCAAGCAACAGGTCGTTTTTCTCTGAAATTATCTCTTCAATTTCGGATGTGAAGTTCAGCCACAGTGGGAGGTATATCATGACCAGAGATTATCTGACCGTTAAAGTCTGGGATCTCAACATGGAAAACCGCCCCATTGAAACTTACCAGGTATGGACCACTACCCACCCGTAGTTACATAAGGCACATCTTTTGTGGACCTCCAAGTCAGCTTCTGCCTACAAAGGCTTACAGTGCACAAGAGTAAAAGACAGTACATCATCATAAATTCAATAAAATGGTACAGCCTGTAATGGCTATAGGATTTAGACAAGGGTACATAAGGAGGAACTTGAATTCAATTTAACGCGTATATACTGAGCATTTAATGTGGGATGGGTACTGTAGATACAGAGATAAACAAGACAGACATGGTCCTGCTCTCCTTGAGCTGACTGTGTTGGTGGGGAAGCCAGATGATGAACAGGGGATTGAGTAGGCAGTGATGCAAGGGAACACACGCAGGGAGGGTCAGCCTGGTGAGAAGAAACCCTAAGGCTGAGTCTTGAATGACAGAATCTAGCCAGAAAAATCATACTGTTAGAAGGATAGTCTGTTCATAGGTGGTGAGTTCAGAAAGGAGTTCTTTATATCTTCCTTCTGCCCATGTTCCATATTCAAGATTACCAAGAAGAGTCTAGAAATGTAAGCCCTGGCAAAGAACATTAGGTTATTTTGTCTTCAGGCTGAATACAGTAGAAAACCATTAAAAGGTTTTGGAAGAGATGATGACAGTTGGGGCTCTGGAATTGGCAGCAATGTAGATAGAGGGAGAAGCAGGAGGAGAGTCTGTGAGTCTTGCTTGCTGATTCAATGTTAAGGGAAGAACAGTCAAGAGGGTGTACAGATTTTTGGCTTAAGCAACAGCTAAATGGCTGGTAGATTTATGGACAAAAGGAACAAAGGAGAAGGCAGGTTTAGAATGGCTTATTTTAGAAGAGGAAGAACAGATTTTGAGGTAGAAAGAATTTGAAGAAGCTCATTTCAGGTAGGAGTACAATGGAAGAAAAGATATTTTGAGTTAGATTAAAAGAAGTGTGAGAATTTTAGATAGGGATTTAACTTACACGTTTTTTCTTGAGACATAACTCACATAGCGTAATATCCATCCTTTTGAACGGTTGTGCTAGGGAGGAGAGGCTATAGGGGACATGGTAGCAAACACAACGGTTAAGAAGTTATTGCAACATTCTGGCAAAGTTTGAGAGTAGCGCAGATGAACATGTGAGCAATGGAAGTGGCAAAATTCTTGTAAAATCAGTAGGCTTTGACTACAAATTGGATGTGTGATGTAAGAGGAAAACAACACCAGGGATCATTCCAAGGTTTTTTGTCCTAAGCAATTAGGAAGATGGTGCTGCCATTTTATGCACATGAGGAAATCAAGAATTTTGTTTGGGGCATCTTGGGCCAAAAAAATATCCAGAAACTGCAAATAGACAGCTCAGTTTGAATTTGGGTATATCCTAGCTTAGAGAAAAGAAGAGGTCAGGACCATGTCCTGGGAACCTGGTGTTTACAGGTTAAGAAAGGAAAACTGGGATGAATGTTTTGGAAGCCAGAAAGACTATTTCAAGGAGAAGGAATCAGCTGTTGCTGAATCAAATAGGAAAGGATTGAAAATAGGCAAATGGATATAAGTGTAGGTGAATGGTATCAATGAAGGTCTGACTGAGTGGGTTTCAAGAGAGACTGTAAGTGGAAGATGTGAGTGTAATGAGTACAGGTAACTCTTTCAAGAAATTTAGTCTAAAGGGCAACAGAGAATTGGGGTGGTTTCTGTAATGAGGGATACAGACATAAGGAAAGTATGTCACAGTATACTTTATGCTGATGGGAATAAGCCAATAGAGAAAGAATCATTCAAGCAGCTAAGTGCTTGAAGGAAGTCAGATGGAACAGAGTCCATTGCAGAACTGGTCTTAGATGAGAAGATGGACAATCCATCCATCAAAGGAAAGAGGCTTGTAAATTTTGTAATGGGAAAAATAGATGGGTTTTTTTTTTATTGCTTCTGTTTTCTCAAAAGAAGCAAGATTTATTGGCTGAGTGAGAAGTATAAAATACTCATTATGAGTGAGTTGAATATGGAGGTGTCTTAGAGTTGCTCAAGGATCCTCTTGAGTACAATGGAAGGAGAGAGAGTCAAGTTTTTTGAAGGTACATACTAAGGGTATGATTATAATGATGGACTAGTGATCCTCAGGTAGTAAGGAGGGAAATAATGGGTGAAGGAAACTAGACAGGAAAATGGATTTAAAGAATTGATAGAATCAAGATAGTAAAGGGAGTGAACTAAAAAGATAGGAGGTAGCATAGATTAGTACTTATTAAACAAGTACAGTCATGCCAAGTCTCATAACATGACCAAGGAGGTGAAGGGAAAAAATCCATTAAGAATGATGAGGCCACGTAACTAGGAGACCAGAAGAATGATGGGAGGGGGATCTGGGTCCTAAAATTGGTTCAAGGAATGTTGCAGAGTTCTGAGTCCTGTTGCTGACTGTAACAAGGTAGACAGCAGGGAGATTAGTTGGCAATCTGACTTCAAAAGAGCTGAGGAATCATGGTCTGGAGCAGCAAGGAGCCCACCTACCCCACCTTGACACACATGAGCAAAAGTCCTGCTACTGCCATGGCTACAAGAAAAGCCAACATTTTAGAAGAAATTGAGAGAGAAGATTGAGAACCCCCAGAACTTTGGCCAACTGTGAGTAACACAAGGTGCTATGAGGTTTTGAGACCAGAAATCAGGACAACATAGGTAATTGAGATGGTTTGTGGTTGCAGTAGCCTGCCCTGTATATTTGGGGTCTTACTGTTCTCCAGATCCAGCCGGACTTCAAGGCCCCTCTTCACAACACTTTTCTTCAGCGCAGGGCTACAGCCAACTGGAATGTCCTCTTCCAGCTGCAGAGACAAACATGTAGTGTTACAAATCCTTAATACCAAACAGAGGGCAATGTCAAGTAGAACCTGAGCGTGGGTGGTATTGACAGAGGTGTGGCCTGCTGGCAAGCCTGGAATAGAGAAAACTGGATTTAGGCTCTTCAGTGGCAGGAGCAATTAGTACTTTCATTTTAGAGAATGGCTTTAAGAACAAAGCTAGTTTTAGAACACAGTGAGCTGTGACATAGAATAATAAGCATTTTAAGAGCATGCTTCTCAAACCAAGTTCAGCTAGTGGTGGATGTGGAAGTGTTCTTTGTCAAAGGCTTTGAAATTGTACTGAAATGCAATGTTACAAAAGTTTATTTGAACTTTAGATAGCATATTTTGAAGCAATTTAAATTTAAATGCCAAACCAAAAATGGTAACATACAGTATAAAAGATGGTAAATAAACTCTGACCAAATATCTAGAACACTGTTGACGAGGACTACAACGGCTGGCCCAAAGGGAAATAATTCCATCATCAGTTACGGATGCCTTCCCTGGGGAGGGAAGTAAGTAGTGTTCCTGCCATGTACTTTCATACTTGCATCCACTGTTCTCAAGTATCTTTCCAGGAATAACAAACTGTAGACTTACCAATCATCAGCTATTTTCAAGTTTTTCTACAGAACAGAGGTTGGCAAGCTGTGGCTGGTGGGCCAAATCTAGCCTCCATTTGTTTTAGTGCAAGAAATTTTACTGAAACACAGCCACACCTGACCATTTATATATTGTCTGTGGTTTCTTTCATGCTTCAGTGGCAGAGTTGAATAGTTGTGGCAGAGGAATTATAACCCATTATAGCTTTAGCAAAGCCTAAAATATCTGTTACCTGACTCTTCACAAGGCAAGTCTGTCAACCTCTGAAATGTAAGAACCAACCACTAGAGTTGACTCTTGCTCAGCCTCATGAGCAGTTCATTAACTGTACAACACCAGGCTTCCATGAGTTTGTAATTTGGGAACCTCTATGTTGGGAGGTTCAGTTTAGTGTCAAGAAAGCCATACACAATAGGAACATGGACAACAAGTATTTGGAACATCATGAAAAAAACATCAAATTGGGTGAGTCTGAAGTTTTCTTTTGCTCTGTGTTTTAGATATTTCTAATGAACCTACCTTAACCTTCTTCTCTCCTCTGGTGGAGATTGGTCCACCTTGTTTGCCTAAGGTTTTGTTTCTTGTTTTAGCAACAGAACATAAAGATAACGTACCTTCACACCCAATGTTCTTTTTCTTTGGATGACTTCAAGCCAAGGCAGCAGGAGCAGCTCAAAATTTAGCTGTTGAGGAGGAGAAAATACTAGTTCAGACCAGATTTTCCTTTGTACTCATGACTTTTGTCTTTCAAGAACTATTTATAGAGTTATTGGCAATGTGGTTTCTACTAATAGATTCACACTTCCAAACACACATGTTTTGGTACTTATTATTGACTTATGTTTCTATAAGAAAAAAATGCCAAAAGTGAAATTCAGAGGTCAAGAAAAGCTTACAAAGAAGAGCATAGGCCGAACTAAATTTTTTTTTTTTGAGTAATTGCGGTGAAATAAAATAGTAATCTATCCCTTTCTTAGAGATTTACAATTCCTGACCATTGTAGGATTCTGAGTTCTGTATCATAGAAACTGCTTAACTCTGTGTTTTCAAAACCATTTTCTCCATTCTCAGAACACTCACATCCGTGCCTTGTCTACAAAGTGCTCCATAGCATATCAGAGCTATGAGGAACCTGGAGATAAGGATGAAAATAATAAGCTATTTGGCTCATCTTTTTTGCTAAAAAAAAAAAAAAATTGGGAAAACTAAAGTACAGGCATGTCTCATTCTATCCCACTTCCCAGATACTGCCTTTAAAAAAAAAAAACAAAAACAAAACTTGAAGGTTTGCTGCAACCCCACATCGAACAAGTCAACCAGTGCCATTTTTTCCAACACACTGGCTCATTTCACATCTCTGTGTCATGTTTACCGTCTCTAAGCTTTATGACATGTTATGATGATTTGTGATGAGTTATCTTTGGCTTTACTATTGTAATTGTTTTGGGGTGCCATGAACCATGCCCATATAAATTGGTGAGCTTAATCAATATATGCTGTGTGTGTGTTTGCCTGCTCCACCAAACAGTCTTTCCCCCATCTCTCTCCTCCTTTACTGGCCTCCAGAGTCTCTGGACACAACAATATTGAAATTAGGCCAAGCAATAACCCTAATGCTTCAAAGTGTTCATATGAAAGGCAGAGTCACACATCTCTCACTTTCAATCATAAACTAGAAATGATTAAGCAGAGCAAGGAAGCCATGTAAAAAGCAAGGTAGGCTGAAAGCTAGGCCTCTTAGGCCAAACAGTTCACCAAGTTGTGAATGTAAAGGAAAAGTCCTTGAAAGGAATTAAAAGTGCTACTCCACTGAACACACGAGTGGTCCAGAAAGAAAAGTCAAATGAGCCGCAACATCCCCTTAAACCAAAGTGTAATCCAGAGCAAGGTTCTAACTCTCTTGAATGCTGTCAAGGGTGAGAGAGAGGAGGAACCTGCAGAAGAAAAGATGAAAGCTAGAAGAGGTTGGTTCCTGAGGTTTAAGGAAGGAAGTCAGCTGCAGAACACGAAAGCTAAGATAATTCATGAAGGTGGCTACCCCAAGCAACAGATTGTCAATGTAGAAGAAACGGCCTTCTTCGGGGGGGGGGGGGGGGGGGGGGGGGGGGAGGTACCGTCAAGGAGTTTTATAGCTAGAGAGGAGAAATCAATGCCTGGCGTGAAAGGGTCAAAGGACAGGCTGACTTTCTTGTTAACAGCAAATGCAGCTGGTGACTAAGTTGAAAACAAAGCTCATTTACCATTCTGAAAATCCTAGAGCCCTTAAGAAATATGCTATATATACTCACCTGTGATCCACAAATGGGACAACAAAGCCTGGGTGACAGCATGTCTGTTTACAACATGGTTTACTGAGTATTTTAAGCCCACTGTTGAGACCTGCTGTTCAGAAACAAAGATTCCTTTCAAAGTATTATTGCTCATTGACAATGCACCTAGTCCCCCAAGAGCTCTGATAGAGACATACAATGAGATTAATGTTGCTTTCATATGTAGTAACACAAATTTAGAATATCACACACAGTTGATAAAGCAGGGCTTGAAAGGGTTGACTCCAATTTTGACTTTTGAGTCTTATTCTTGAAGAAAGACACTTTATGAGGCGATAGCTGCCCTAGATAGCGATTCCTCTGGGATAGGTGTAAGCAAAGAAAATGCACAGCCTTCTGGAAAGGATACAACATTGTCAATTCCATTTAGAACATTTGTGACTCATACAAAGAAGCCAAAACATCAACATTCACAGGAGTTGAGAAAAAGTTTATTCCAGCCCTTAGGGAGGACTTTGAGGGGTTCCAGACTTCAGTGGAGGAAATCATTGCAGATGTGATGGAAATAGCAAGTGGAGCCTGAAGGTGTGACTAAATTGCCATAATCTCATGATAAAACTTGAAAGGGTGAGGGGTTGCTTCTTATGGAGAAGCAAAAAAAGTGGTTTCTTGAGATGCGATCTACTCCCAGTGAAGATGCTGGGAAGACTGTGGAAATGACAACAAAGGATTTTATTTATCACATAAACTTAGTTGATAAACCACCACCAGAGTTTGAAGCATTGACTCCAATTTTTACAGCAGCTCTGCTATGAATCAAATGCTGTCAAATAGCATCACATGCCTCAGAGAAATCACTTGTGAAAGAAACAGTCCATCGATGTGGCAAACTTTACTATCTTATTTTAAGAAACAGCCACAGCCACACCAGCCTTCGTCCCACCACCACTGTGATCAGTTAGCAGCCATGAACACTGAGGCAGGACCTACTACTACCAAAAAGAGGACAACTTGCTGGAAATCTCAGACGATTAGCATTTTTTTTAGTAATTATTTGTTACTTAAGGTATAGACATTGTGTTTTAGATAATGCGATGTATTGCATGCTTAATAGACTAAAGTACAGTGTACACATAACTTATACATGCCCTGGAACACCAGAAAGTTTATTTAACAGACTTTGCTATGATATTCACCTTATTACAGTGGTCTGGAACCTACAATATCTCTGAGTTGTGTCTACACAACAACAACAAATTTGGCTTCCAGTAACCACTGGATTAATTCCCAGCTTGGCATACTTCCCTTCAGAAGCCCCAGCCTTCTATTTCCTCTAGGACAAAGAACCTAGAAACAAGTCAATGAAAAGTCCAGAAAAGGCATGAAAGACCTCGGGTAGACAAAACTGTGACCCAGAGGCAAATCTTGTCCCCCACCTGTTTTGGTAAATAAAGTTCTGCTGGAACACCACCTGCACTCATTTGTTTATGTATCACCTGAGGCTACTTTTGCATTACAAGGACTGAGCTGAGTGTTTGCCACTAAGGTCATATGGCCCACAAAGCATAAATATTTACCCTCTCTGGCCCTTTATAGAAAAGATTTGCCAAACCCTGGTCAGGACCAACAGTCAGTCCTAATTTTACCCTTAGGCTCTCTTCTGCTTCTTTGCTCAGTGACTCATTTAACAATCACTAGAGATCTTCCACCCTACAAACAGAAAAGGCCTTCTACATCAGACCTGTACCACCTCCGGGATGCCCAAACCAAGGCAGGAGAGGAAGGGAACAACAGTGAGTTGACATACAGCAGAGTTATCAAGCGTTGCACACGGATTCTCTGGTCACCAAAGCAGTTAAGTAGGTACCCTGACCAGGCCCAGGACTGACTGCAAATGGCCATTTGCAGAGTTATAAATACTTACACTGACCGAATGACTCCTAGAGCTTCCGATACCCAGAACACCTCATGGAACATGGGATGAATGACCCAACCATGCTGGATGATCTCATGTAAAATTCACATTCAACAACTTCATGGGGCCCCAGTGCCTTCAGGCAACTCAGCATTGACTCCTAAGCCTCCCCTGCCCTTCCTCACTCTCAAGTAGTAACCTGGATTCTTAAAATGGAAACAGAGGAGAAATGCTGCATACTTCAGGGCTGCAACCTTTACATCAGAGCTTCCTTGACAGCTCCACCTGCATGGGCATCTCCAAATGGTCATACCCAAAAACGCACATAGCAACTCCGTCCTTCCACTTGCTCAAGAGAAAGGGCAAAGAGCCATCTCGATTCCCATTCTTCCCTCCACACTTCATAGGTGCACCATCCCCAAGTCCTATCCGCTCTCCCTGCAAACAGGCCAGGGAAGCTGACCACCTCCCACCACTGCTCTCACCAAATCCAAACCAACATCTGTCACCAGGTTATCACCAGCCTCCCTGCCTTTGCTGTCTTACATTATCACAATACAGACAGCTCAGCAATCCTTTCTGCGAGGTCTCCTCACCTTCCTCAGAATAAAAGGCCCATGTGAATGCACACCTGCCCCTATGCTGGGATGAAAACACATCAAGAGTATCCTGTTCACTGCCTAGCCCAAGCTCATAGCAGGCAAGCAATAAACATCTGTTGAGTTAAAGACCAAGTGAATGGTGTCGTCTAATGCCTACTAGTAAATCAGTTTAGAAAATGGGATTCTACCACCTCCTGGGCCCTTCTTTACGCTACTGGCTCCCTAGGTAGCCACACTCACCATGTAAGCAGCTCACCAACCCATCCTGATATCCCACTGCTCAAGAAGGTGAATCTGGAATCAGACCTGGGCCATCTGATTCAAGGCACACTTATACTGGAAGAATTAACAGCTTCCGTCAGAAGAGGAGGTCTTCACAGAAATAATCATTTTTAAAAATAAATGACCCTCTTGATTTATTTCCCCAACAGGTGCATGACTACCTCCGCAGCAAGTTGTGCTCCCTCTACGAAAATGACTGCATTTTTGATAAATTTGAGTGTGTGTGGAATGGGTCAGACAGGTAAGAGAGGCTCTGCAGCTAGGGAACCTTCCAAAGGTGGGTCCTGTACTGGCCGAGGCCCTGGACAGTCAATCCTAAAGAGGTCACCATCAAAGGGTGATGAGAATCCAGCCCCTGGGCCTGGCAGGAGTCCACCGTGTGGGTCACTGGATTTCCCTTGAGCTCAGACCGGGCAGGAAGGGCAGGATGTGTTGAGACCCTCAAATCCTTTTTCAAGACTGGCACAGGTGACCGTTTAACATCAACGAGAACATCCTCTGTTATACATATCAGACACCCCCAGAATTACGTCAACATGGCTCAGATGAAGAACGCTAATAATCTGCCCGCAAATTCCAGTATAAATAGCTCAGATTTTTGCAAAGTGCACTTTCTAGGTTGAAAATCATTCCTGGCCACTTCTAGCATAGACCTGGCCAAAGGCCCTAGTCATTCATTAGCCAAATTCTTGTTGGCCTCATTCATCATATCCCCTCAAAGTGATTTATTATTGTTTTAAGGCCTTTTATTTCAACAATACATCATATTACCTTCTAATGGTTCATTTTTAGTTTGACAAATACAGATGATTCCCTGACTTTCAGAATGAAGTACAGGCTACCAGGAGCTGATTTCGTTTGTTGAGGAATGCAGCACCCGCAATAGGGCTTGGAAGCACTCCATTCGATCATGGCAAGGCACTCAGAGGTTGGAGCTTTTTGTAAAACACCAGCTTTTCTGACCGTTACTTGGCTTGCTTTGCCAGTGAACCAAAATGTGCCTTCCTTTTAGCAGGCCTGGAAAGAGTCACCATGTGGCAGAGGACCCAAGTCACGGCACCCAGTTGGTCTAAGGGCTGAGGGAAGAGACTACAGATGTGATGTAGGAACCAAAGCTCCCCAGGGGGAAGCATTTTACATTCTTCTTTGTATATTTATATCAATGCGTTGATTCATATATTGTTAAGAGATTTTTCCTATTTGTTACTGATTCAATAACCTCTGTTAACGTAAACTCAAAAAGTACCTATTTGTCATCCTCTCACACGTCATGTTCTAGAATTCTGACCACAGTCTGACAAAGTTGGTTTCATCATCCCCATTTTATAGTTGCAGAAACTGAGGCTCAGCAAGGTAAAGTAACCTTCCCAAGCTCAGGAGCCAGTATGTAGTAGAGACAAGAGTAAGAAACTTTCAGTTTGAATCCTAAGTCTACGTTCTTTTTCATAACGTCACGGTTTCTTTCCATAACCAAGACAATTCTTGGTTCAGGTAAGATTGAGAGTTTTAAAAACACAAACAAAAATCAACAGACAGACAAGAAGGACTCTCTCTGTTGGAAAGGAGATCAAGTCGTGGTGGGGGAAGAAAATGGCAGTTCATGGGAAGCAGTGAAGCCGAGTGGCTACGTGCTAGGCCTTGGGGGTCAGGCACATGTGGGTTGGAGGCCTGAGTGTGACACTTCATCACAGTGTGACACTGTGCTAGTCACTTGTGATCATGGGTAAGTCCCCCATCAGGGATAACATAAGGCAAAATGAGATTTTAGTGATCAAGTACTCTGCACCCTTCCTGATAAGGTAACAACAGTTTATTCTACAGAGACCAACACATTTCATAACATCCATTCCCTGGGCCAGAGTAACCAGATCTCACCCTTGATCGATTTGCCTGGCACAGGTGACCCAGTGTTTAAAAACCTTTTCCCCCTGGCCATGGCCCCATGCTCTCAGCTTCCCCCTCACATGACTATGCACTGACACCATGTGAGCACAGCTGAGGTATATTCTCTCGCACTGTAGCTAAACCATCAGGGCTGCACCCTGAGACAGGGCCACGCCAGCCTGTCCAGTGCAGCCCCTGTGGGATGTTACTGAGGCAGCATTATCCCCCTCTCACCCTGCCACTGTGTACAAAGCATCACCAGTAAAGACTGAATCCCTTGCTTTTGTAAAGCTTTCACAGTCACTGCTCTCGGTAAATCATCAATACGCTTGAGGATGGAGAAGTCTTATAAAAATATGGAAGCCATCTGTCAATCCACTAGCAGGGCTTCTTTCCCATCCCAAGTTCTTTTAAGATTTGAATTTGTTTACTGTCTTCCTGAGGGAGAGACCATGATGACATCCATTTTTTTTTCTTTGTAACTTTTCTGCAAGGCTGAATCAAGAGCTGGCTCTCAGCATGGGGAGGACGCGCCAGGGTCAGTGCACTCTACACTCGGGGTGTCTCCCCCCATGCTGACTGTTTGGGGAAAGACGTGGAGGTTGGGCAGCATGGACTCCCCACTACTGCGACCGTGCTTTAAATGTGCACAACCACTGTTTCCACGTGGTCCTCCTGTCCTGACCTCTCTCCAGCCTCACAATCCCAAGGCAGGTCAGGCTGGGATCATTAAAACCACTGGACTCATTTACGGACCCAGATAAGGGATCTATCCAACAGAATTAATAAGGAGGATTATCACAGCCCTTCATTTCCAAACCAGCCAAAGAGTTTGTTGCTTTCAGTGATTCAAAACCTAGACCACAGTCACACCATCGAGCCTGTTTGGGTTTTCATCTTTTTTGTTTTCAATACAACTTAGGGTATCATAAGCTGGCCACGATGTGATGTCATTAGCTCCAAAAAGACACAACGGGGATAGATTACTGCCTCTCTCCAGAGCACTCAGTCACTCCCTATTTATTTCCTCTCTCCATTGCAGCGTCATCATGACAGGCTCCTACAACAACTTCTTCAGGATGTTTGACAGAAACACCAAGCGTGATGTCACCCTTGAGGCCTCGAGGGAAAACAGCAAACCCCGGGCTATTCTAAAACCGCGAAAAGTGTGCGTGGGGGGCAAGCGGAGAAAAGACGAGATCAGTGTCGACAGTCTGGACTTTAGCAAAAAGATCTTGCATACAGCTTGGCATCCTTCAGAAAATATTATAGCAGTGGCGGCTACAAATAACCTATATATATTCCAGGACAAGGTTAACTAGGAAGACAAGTTATTACTTAATAATCTCACATACTGAATACTAGTCAAACATGTTTTTAAATGTTTCTTTGGGTCTTCATTTGATGCATTGACATTAATTTCCCTATGCAGAAAACGATTGGAATAGCATTAAAAGGAGTCCAACTTTCCCAGATCCCCAGTTCTAAGAGACTTTTGTCAAACCCAATAGGTTCTGAGACACTTGTGTTTAGAATTGAGAGCTGCCAGCTAACACTAATTCTCCATAGTTGACTTGAATTTCTGATGCTTTTATTGCCCGGTTTTCTCTGGTGGGTCCAGTGTTTTGTTTCTAGGTGTCTGCTGAGATAAAATGAGGTTGTCTGTAGTATTTAAAGAGAAAAGAGATAAGTTTTTTTTTTAAGTAAGCAATTCCATTTGATTGAAAAAAATCAACAAAAAATAAACACCGTTTACTCTTAGAGAAATTCTCCTTCTTTGTGTGTGAGAAATCCCAAACAGCATCTCCTGCCCCCACAACACTTTTTATTAACAGTCTCATTGAACCCGGAGATTTATTTTACGAGGCCGCGAAGAGGACGCAGAATGAGAAGGGAGGGGACACGTCGCTACTGCTCTACTCTTTTTCTTTGTAAGCGCCATAGAGACAGCCTGAGAATTTGGCTAGGAAACCCCATGAATGCTTCAAGGGACATAAAGAGAACACTTTCTACACAGTGCTTCTCAGAGTTAGCTTGGCGAGGCCTTGTGGGGCCAGATTCCATCTGCTGCCTTGTTATTCCTGCTTTTTGTAATTTTAAATGGCTCCGTATAATCCTCTACTTACACGTTCTTTGGCTTTTTCTCTTCAACCTTTTCCAGTTTATTTATTCCATTGACTTCTAAAGGCCGCGGCCTAGTTGTTGATGACCTGGTGCTCTAAATGATGGGACGGCACCGCCCCTGGCTCCCGCTGAAAGCCTGCTCTGCTCCTCTTGGGTGTGTCCCCTACGCAGCCCCCTCTCCTCTTCCTGGGTTTGGTAACCAAAAGTCACAATCCATCAATCTCTACTGCAGCTAGAACAAAAATGGCCAATAAAAAATCCTAATTTGTGAAGTCTAATCAAGTGTTTCTAATCCACTTCAAGCTCACTGTTTGCAAAAATACACCAAAGGGCTCTCCTCCTACAATAATGGAATATGGGGATTCAAGACTCTGTCACAGTATAGTGAAATCTGCTTGAACCTGTGGCATCTGGTTCATCCTTCCCCCTCCACGTTTAGAATTTGGACTTTGAAGTTCCAGAATGTTCTGTGAGGCACAACTCTGGGAAGAAGACTAAATCAATTCACATGATTTATAAATCTGAAGGAGGATGTGGGAGGACCCAGAAAGCTGGGTCTCAGCTTAGTGTCTCCATACCTGTCCTGGTGACTCATTCCCCTTCTTACTCACGAACCTTCCATCTTGTGAATAAGAAATGGCTTCAAATGAGCACTTTTATTTTAAAGAGAAATTCTCTTTCAATTCATGTATTTATTAGAAGTCCCAACTTCCAATGTACTTTGCTTGGGAGGAGGGAAAAAATAGGAACGTTCTTTCCATTCTAAGGTACTATTCATTTAATAACATCTTTTGGCAAGGCAATAGCTATCTAGAACTCAAGGGAACACCACTTTATTAGATGCATCCCAATTTCGGAAGCACTAAAATATGAGAACTACTTCTCAAAATTGAAGGAGCATGCGGATAAAGGACGTGACTTGTTTTCTCAGTGTTTCTCGTCTTCCCTCAATAGAAGCCTCTCTTCAGGCATTGCCCAAAAAGTGGCCCAGGTGGAAACTTTCTGGGCAGGATTCCTGGCCCGACTGGGACAATGTTCTTGGAGGAAACTTCAGAGAGGATGAGAAACTTCTCCAGCTCATAGAGAATTGTCATACCAGGATAGATAGAAGGACCAGTGAGCTGTTGTCCAAAGTTTACTATCAACTTCCTTACGACCTTTTCTCTGCTCCTCTGAGACTCCACTCCTCTCTCTGTACCAGGTGGGGCTTAGGAGAGATCACTATTGTTCAACCTTAGGCATCAACTCAGCTCTGTGCCATTGTTCATTTAAGGCACCTTTTTTAAAAGCAACACTTAGCTGCCTCCAAAGAAATAGTAATCATGAAATGTCTGTTTTAATATTTTTGGAACACTAAAATAGTCACATATCAAGGAATATCATGTACCCAAGTACCACCTATCATCATCTTGTGAACTGTGAAGAACACGTTTATCCAACCTTAGGACGTGGAGTAACTGCTATCAGAGTATATTTAGAGGCATCACAGACTCCCGATGAACAATGCTTCCTCACTACAGTCAAGAGTGCTTCCCACAACACATACATCAACAGTTTTGGTCATGGTTTTCAGGGACTCACAGGCCCCCCTGCAGGCCAACTGTGGATCCTCAAAAAATCCCCCATGCTTAGTCCTACACCCTCGGCACAGAGATGTACACTCAGATCCAAAGAGTGGGAGGAATTTGCCAGAGATCTCAGAGTTAAGAGCAGTGAGCAGCCACTTGAACAAAGAATGCATCAGGGTGGGGGGCGGGAATCAAGACTCCTGGACTGGAACAGGAGAAGAAGGTGCTAGAGACTGGACCTCAGGCAGCCATCACCACCACCGTGTATCAGCAATGACTTGCTCTGTGCCAGGTACCGAACTAGGTATTTTACAGTCGCAACTTCCTTCTGCCCCCGTGCTGGGGAGGTTCATCTTGAACTCAGTCCCTGTTCCAACTGACACTAAAGGCTACCTGAAAGCTCACTTACCTCACTGTCAACAGTGTGTTGGATTCTCAGAGCTCTGCCCTGCCTCATAGTGCAAAGGCTGCTGCTTGGTATGAGCCATCACCTTGCACTAGAGGATGGCAGTCAACCGGGGGAGAGGGAGCCACAGCTTCCCAAGCCTTTAATGAAATGATCCAAATGAAACAGAGTTCCTGACATTTAAAAAAGGTGGACTTGGGCATACATCCATGCTTTCTTTTCTGGAAGTGGCAGAGGGTTTTGAAGCAACAGAGAAGACAGACATAAATGAGCATCAAGTAGTGGGGTACACAGAGGTGAGTGGGCAATAAGAATCCATTTGTCTCTTAAATCCTGAAAGTCTCGCTCCTGTCTTCACTCTGTATCGGGTGGCTGGTGGGGGTGGGGAGAGAGTGGGTAAAGCATCTTTAAACCTCTCACTGATCTCATAATTAACCATAACAACACCTGTTACACAACCAGCATATGAAAGGCAGTCAGGTGGAACAAGGATGAAGCTAAAATTCTTTTGGCTCAGTACCCAGTGAAGTAAGTCAGCCATCTCCAATGTATCTCCCATATTTCCAAGTGAAGCCTCAGGAGCTGCTTTCCCTTGGAATGACTCACCTACTCAAAGGATTAAATAAGTCAGCCATCTCCAATGTATTTCTTTTCAACACTTGAGGATGCATTATCCTAAAAGGTGACCCTAAATTGCTCAATAGCTGACCAAGGAAGAGACCACAATTTCCCTTCCTTCAAATTAGAAAAGCAACTAGCTAAGGCTCCCCTCCTACCCACTCTCCCACCACTGTGGATGCATGCTTGTTTATTCCCTCTGCTGACTGCCTGCAAAGCTCAAGAGTGCCCTGGTAAACCTAACAGCAAAACTTTGGGGAAGACACTATAGTCCACAGCCTGAATGAGGGGACTTTTCCTAATCTGTCTCCATCATGGACATGTGTAGATGAGGCAGGTGTGGGGGGAGGGGAGGTAGTGGGTTTTTTATTATTTATTATAAGAGAAAGTGAGAGTGTGAGTGGGGGAGGAGCAGAGAGAGAGACAGACAATCCCAACCAGGCTCTGCAATCTCAGCACAGAGCCCGACACAGGGCTCAAACTCACAAACTGTGAGATTATGACCTCACTTAACTGACTGAGCCACCCAAGCACCCCAAGGCATTTGCATTTTAAAGAGTACCCCCAAAGATACTGCAATGCACCAAATGAACCCTAGGTAACATTCAGAATGCCCCCTGAGTCACTGGGTATCTGTCAGAGCTTAACCCACCGCTTCCTCCCATATTTCTAATCAAACCTCAGGAACTGCTTTCCCTTGGAATGACTTGCCTGGTCACAGAAAGACTGTGGAAATGGGAAACAGGAAATGTGGATCCTGCCCCTGGATCCACTGCAAAGTAATTAAGGATCTCACCTGTGAAATAGTCAGAAAACAATCTGTGCTAGTTCATGGAATTACTGTGAGAAGCACAAGGAATATATTTACTTATAACTGCTTTGTTAACTTTAAAGCACCATAAAAAATCACAATTTCAACAATACTCACTATAAAAACATACTAGTAATTTCTCATTATCTTCCTTCTTTAGCCTCATGAGATTGATGCCAGTATTATGTTCATTTTGGAAATGAAGGAAGAGACTTAAGTTGTCAACCTAGCCAAGGGCATATAGCCAGTAAGAGACAGAACCAGGACTCCAACTCAAGGTGCCAGATCTAAAGCCAGAATTCTTGAAATACTGTTTCTAATCCATGATAGTAGCTAACATTTACTGAACGTTTCTTATTATGGGCCAGGTCATGTTTAAAAATTTCACATCTATTAATTCATTTATACCTGAAAGTCGAGATGCCACTATTATTATTGTTTCCATTTTACAAATAAGGAAATGGAGGGAGACTGTGCAACTTCAGTAAGTTTACACAGTGCACAAGTGACAGAACCAGACATTTTGGTCAGCGTTCTTATCCTCCATCTCATCTCACATTATACATATATAGTTGGAAGTTACTGTTGCGAGTCCCAACATTGACCCATAAGTTCATCAGTATTAATCAGGAAGTCTGGAGGGGCTGGAGTCATGGAGATATAGAAGCCACTCGTCCCCACCCTCCAGGAGATCACAGCCATATTGGAGCACCATGTACATTGTTAACCTATTTACAATACAATGAAGTATGTATAAAGTATAGAAATAATTCAAAGGAGGAAATAATTAGTGAGAATGGGGACAAAAACAATTTTTCAGAATACATGCCCTCTAAGTAGAATGTTGAAGTGATTCAGTCAACACCCAAAGCATAATATGGCATTTCCATTAGAGGGAACAATGTATGTGAACAAGAATGGATATGGCATGGGAACAAGAGGCTGAGGTTTCCCTCATTCTGTCAGAAACACATTTTCAGTTTGCCAGAACTAGCCTTGCCCTTCTTTCTTTCACTCGTTCAT